ACCCCACCCGCGCAAACCGACCGCACCGCGCCGCGCCGCGCCACGCCTATGCCGCCAACGCCCGCCAGGTGTGCCGAGCTGCTGCTGCAGCAGCGCCGCCGGCGCGGCGCGATCGACGCCGCCGTGCGGCGCGGCGCGCTGCTTTATGAGGACGCGTCCGAGATGCTGCGGGCGGATTTCCCGCGCTCGGGGCCACCGTTGGACCCGTTTTTTGACATGGACGTCCCGGGGCTCCTCGAGTTCATCGACGCATCAATGCTCAAGACCGAGGCTCAGCTAGACGCGTACGACGAGTGGAGGCAGGAGGCCGGCGTGGGCGCCGCAGCCGAGCAGATGCAGCTCAAGCTGACGCTCGCGCAGTTCAGCGTGGCGCGGGCGGTGTTTTCCATGTTGCCCGCACGCGAGGCGCGCCGCCCCTTCGCGCTGACGGCGGCGGAAATCCGCGAGGTCGCGGCCGTCGCGGAGGTGCCGCCCAAGGCGGTGCGCGTTGCGCTGCACAGCTACGCGCGCCTCAAGACCCGTTCGCTGCTGGGGGCGCGGGAATTGCTGGAGGGCGGCCGCGACGGCGCCGACGCCGGCGGCGGCGGCGGCGGTCGTGGGGACGCCGGCAAAGCGTCGCAAAGCTGGGTGTCGCGCGCATATGGGCGGCTGTTTGAGCGCAAGGCGCCGGATCACGAGGACATCCAGGCATGGGTGGCGGCGGAGGCGCAGGCTGAATTCGACAAACTGGCGCGACTGAGCCTGACGGATTTCGAGGGGCGGCTCGAGAAAATGCTAGCCCGGGCCTCCACCGCCGCGACCACTGTGGGCCGCGCGCGCGGGGCGTCGCCGGCGGCGCGCGCGCGCGGCGAAGCAGAGCATTTTGCGGCCGCGCTGCGCGTGGTGCGGGCGCTGCCGCCAGAGGGCCGGCGGCGGCTCGAGCGGGACCCGGCGGGCGGCGCCGGCGACGGTCCGGAGGCGGAGGCGGCGGCGGCGGCCGGGGTGCCCTTGGGGTTCGTGCGGTCGGTGCTGGAGGGCTACGCAGAGCTGCGGCTGGCGGCTGCTTGGTCGCTGGGGCGCGGCGACGGCGACAGTGATTATTGACACGCATGAAGTACGCGCTGCTGCTGTGTTCATGTATGTGGTTGGCATGCATCCCGCAAACTGCTGCAATCAGGGCTGCACCCCTAGCTTTCCGTCACCACATCCAGGCCATCAAGTTCAGGCTGCACCCCTGTTGAACCTCAGAGAAGAAGGCAACCCACTGGGCGGCAGGTTCGATATTACGTGCAGGGTTGCGGCCGCGCCGACGCAGGCCGCTTGCCCACCAACGAATTGGGTTCGCCGGCAGCGGTGGAACAGAGGAGCAAGCAGACACGATGTAATCAGTAGTCTGATGACAGAAAACCCATGCCATCAACAAATCTGTTGCACTCTTGTTGGATAGACTGACAAAGCTACAAAGCTTGCAGCCAAGGAGAGAGGGGAGTTCCCTCGTGGCGCCAACCGCCGAAGAATGAGCACACCAAAATTAGGGCCAGTCGTGGCGCGAAGAATCGTGGGTGAGGGGTGCGAGGGGGCTCGCAGGTGTGCAGGGCGCGGTGAGAGGGCGAGGAGCCTGTGGCAATCGTATGAATGGAGATGCGGCGGCAACACAACACGGCTGGGTTGGAGCGAGACGCAGGCCGCACGGAGCAGGGAAGCGGGCCCTATGCACGTCGCACGCTCAGCAAGGCATTGCCCAGGCCCGGCGCATGGGTCAATGGGGGAAAGTCAGAAAGCCCCGCGCCATTGCGTTGCTGAGTAGCAACCAATTGATGGAGGCCCTCGCGAGGCGGATGAAAGATGGTCCAGCCCCCCCC